AAAAAAAAAAAAAAAAAAACTAACGAGCTAATCCGGCGAATAGGAAGCAAAATTATCATGAAACCATTTGAGAACTTCATCTTCAAGAAGCTGGGGCTCCGATTAATGTAGGTAAATTGTTTTAAGCCCTATTAATAGATAAAATATTGATTTAGGACAAACATTTTTAGCTTTTTGCAACACTTAAAGAGAAAAAAAACCTTAAGTGTTGCAAAAAGCTACAAGGGCAAAGCCCTAATTAGCGAAGATGGAGAAACCAAATCGAAGAGAAGTAGCACGGGAAAAAGGCCCACCCAAAACAGATTGATGAAAATACAATTTGGTATTGAGGAAGCATTAAAAAAGAGAATGTTGGAATTACCCTAACGAGTTGAAGACTAGCACGCGTAATGCAACAATTGAAATGAAGAAGTAAACAAAGTTAGCAGTTTTACCTCTAGAATAGGCTTCGTCAGTGGCAAAGATCTGCAGAAACCGGCAGCCGGGAAGACGGAACTGAAAGAGAGAGAGTTCTAACTTTAACCAGAGCTTGGAGCGCTGCTCCTTCGGTCGAGAACAGTAAAAAGTAGAAGAGGGTCATATCTAAGCCGCGTCTTCGTCCGTTAGTGCTCATTAATTTTTAATTAGCCGTTCGGACACGGGGTGTAAATGAGTATTTAAAAATTGACTATACCGAATCAATTTTTAAGTTTAATTAGTGCTCATTAATTAATGTTTTTATATAAATATTTTTTATTTTATGAAATATTAAACCGTACCGAATAAATTTATAATGTCAAAAATATATTTATATATTAAGTTTAAAAATAATAAAACATTAAATTTTTTTTTGGGCCTTGGAATTATGAAACAGTTACAAGTCAATAAGTAATTTAACTCAAAATCCTAATTCCCAAACCTATTATGTTACTCCTGTTGAAACTAAATTATTTTCAGCATATTCACTAGCAAGACACAAAGTATTGTAGTGATTATGAGTAACAAACTACAATCTATTGAATATGTTTTCCTTTTGTATGATTTAGATTTATCTTTTTGAATATTTAATCTTCTATAGACTTTATTCTTGAATTCCAGCTTGGTTAATATATTTTCACTCGTGTGATTTATATTTTCTATGTATTTACTTAGTTTCTTTTACACTGCTATAGAATAGTTGATGGATCTATACTCTAACCATCTTCATATTTTCTTAATTCATCACCTTTTAAACTATACAAATGTCTAGAGAGTTTTGCTAAGTCCTATAAAAGTACGTATGTTATTGCATTCTACTTCTACTGGAGACTTTTACATAACATCTAAAAAAAATTACCGAAAATTAAACCAAACTGTACCAATAACGAAGAGAAACCGACGTAATTGAGACGGTTTCGAAAAGTCTAATTTTGGTTATACATAATAGAATAACCAAAAAATTAGTATGGTACAAGTTTTATAAAATAACCGACTGAACCGAACCATTGACACCCCTACTTTGCACATTAAGTTTGTTTTATAATTAGATCTAGGCAAAATACATAAAGATCCCATTAAACTTATCCAGAAAATATGTTTGAACACTTAAACTAAACGGGTATTCCTTTACCCCTCTAAAAATATTGCGAGTGAATTTTGTTCCGCCCTCCATGATACCAGACCAGTTAAAGAGTAACGAGTGTAGAATTTCTCCCAAATATCGTCGATTAGAGTGTAGATATTGAAGATTATTGGGGTCTCTTGTAGGTAATTCTTGTTTTCTTCAATTTCTTGTCAATTTTGAAGTGTAAAACAAATTACTATCTTTTTTCTTTTTTACCGATTTCAGTTAAAAATGGCTTTTGAGCTCGTTACACTGAGGATCTTCCATGGAGGTCAGTTACAACAATATCCTATCAACTACGAATATGGTATCATGACAGAGTATTTTGATATTGATGTTGACATATTTTCATATTTTGAGTTTGTAGATTATGTCAAAGAAAATGGGTATAATTGTAAAACATGTTCTATTTATGTGAGACCACCCAATTCTAGCACTTTGGTAAAAATTTTAACAGTTAGGGATATTATGGGTATTGTGCCTCTATTGAAAAATGGGGATATATTTGAAGTGTATGTGTCCCACTCCGTTGATGAAGATTAGTGGTCCCTCAATCTATTGAATATGTAAGCCATGTGTGTAGGGAATCTAGTGTGTCTTTTGATAAAGGGACAAATCAAAGTGTTGGGGGCAGTGAAGGTGTAGGGTTTGAAGTGACACAAAATAGTGTCCCTGTTGCTGATAATGTGCCTGGTGGGGATGCGGGTAGTTCTTCTAATACTAATGATATTCCATTAGCTGAATCTGATGCGGACAGTAGTGACAATAGTACAGATTCAGAACTTGAAGAGCTATTTGATAAAGTGGAAGAAGAATATGGTAGTGATATTGATAAGGAGTACTGAGTTTAAGAGAAGAGAGGAAAAGGGTGCAGAGAAGGAAGAAAAAAGAGATAAGGATTGAAACTAGACATGCCAAGTTAGGTAAAAAGGGTCCACATCTAGGATATGATGAGTATGCAACTAGGAAGAAGACAACTTTAGAGGGTAAGAGTAGGGTAAGAGTACTGGAGATGAGCCATATTAACCCTTAGATGAAGCTGCTAGATTTGAAATAAATCCTGATGAAACTACTTATGATGAAGGTGAAGATGAAGTCCAACAGCTAGTAAGAGCAAGAAGAAAGCTAAAAAATAGGGTTATCTTTGATCCTAGTTGTAAGTTAATTATTTGCGAAACTGGTCTTGCTTTTGAGAGTGTTAAACAGTTTAGAGAAGCACTTACTAAGTATACAGTTCAAGAACATGTACAATTAGATAAGTATGTTAATGAATCTACAAGGTTGAGGGTAAAGTGTTGTGCTGGTTGTCCATGACTCTTGTTTTCTAGTTATGATTCTAGGACAAAAGATTTTGTAGTGAAGAACTATAATACACTTCACAAGTGCAGTGGTTCTATCAAGAACAAACTGTGCAACTCAAAGTACTTAGCAGAAAGATACAAGGACAGAATAATTCTAAATCAAATATAAGAATCTTTAAGTTTCAGGAGTTAGTTCAAAAGGAGTTAGAAATGTATATTGGAAGGAGTGTTGTAAGAAAAACCAACAGTATTGTGTTAACACAAATTATGGGGGACCATGTTGAGGAGTTTGGCAGAATTATGGACTATAGAGATGAGCTGCTAAGGACTAATCCAGGCAGCACATATGTTGTAAAACTTAGTGAAGAAACACATGAAGATGGTAGGAAAATGTTTGTAGCATTTTATATCTGTTTTGATGCCTTGAAGAAGGCCTTCCTTGATAGTTATAAGATGTGTATTGTTTGATGGGTATTTTCTGAAAGATGTTTGTACAGGGCACTTGTGGCTGTCTATAAGGATGGTAATAATCAGATATTGCCACTAGCTTGGCAGTATTTGAAGTTGAAAATATATTTAATTGGAGATGGTTTGTAAATTGGACAAGGTAGGTTGCTCTGATGGTAAGCACCCTCCACTTCCAACTAAGAGGTTGTGAGTTCGAGTCACCCCAAGAGCAAGGTGGGGAGTTCTTGGAGGGAAGGATGCCGAGGGTCATTTGGAAACAACCTCTCTACCCCAAGGTAGGGGTAAGGTCTACGTACACACTACCCTCCTCAGACCCCACTAGTGGGATTATACTGAGTTGTTGTTGTTGTTGTTATTGTATGGTTTGTAAATCTTATAAAGAATGATCTTTAGCTTAGAGATGTGATAGAGTTGACTGTTATTATAGACATGTAGAAGGTAATCTATATTTTATTAAATATGTTGATCAAATCTGTTAAGTTTATCTTTTAACTGTTGTAGGGACTTGACAAAGTAATCACTGTGATCCTTCCACAGGCAGAACATAGAATATGTTCCAGGCACATCGTAGCAAACTGGTCAAACAAATGGAAAGGCATTGAGAGAAGAAATTATTTTTGGAGATGTGCTAGGTCTACTTATGAGCAAGAGTTAAAGAAAAATCTTGATCACATAGAGAAACTAGGGGATAAAATAATTGAGGACCTGCTATACTATAACAAAGAGAGGTGGTGCAAGGTATATTTCAAGTATTTCAGCAATTGTGATAGTGTTGACAACAATTTGGCTAAAAGTTTTAATTCTAGGATATTGGGGCCAAGGAACAAGACAATAATCACAATGCTTGAAGAGATCAGCGTGAAGATGATGATAAGAATAGTACAATTGAGGGATTTCTCTAATACTTGGGTTTGTGATATTTCTTCAATGGCACTGAAGGTGTTGTAGGAGAACACAACAAAGTCAATAAAATGTGTGGTGCACTGGAATGATCAATATGGTTATGAAGTGAAGGAATGACTCACCAGTAAGCATATCGTGAATCTGAATAGGCTTACATGCACCTATAGAGCTTGGATGTTGAAGGATATACAATGTGTTCATATTGTAGTTTCTATCCATTTTTAAAAATTAGTGCCAGTTAACTACATTGCACATTGGTACCATAAGGAGACTTATATGAAGACCTACAGTCACTTCCTTCAGCCTGTACAAAATATGGAGATGTGGCCACAGTCACAAAACCCTTCAGTTATACCACCAGAAGTAAGAAAAATGCCTAACAGGCTCAAAAAAGCGAGAAGGAAGGAACCAACTGAAAACAAAACAGGAAAGCTTTCCAAAAGAGGTACTCAGATGACCTGCAATAACTGTCATGCAAACGGCCATAATAAGAAAGGTTGTCATAAGGGTGCACAAGGTACTACAAAATCAACTGCTAGTGCAAAGTCATCAAGTGTTGTTTCTTCATCAACACCTTCAGTTCAAAGTGTACCAAAAAGGGGGAGAGGAAGAGGAAGACCAAGAGGTTCAACAAAACAGGTAATATTTGTAAGTTACTTCTATTAGATTTTGTTTTTTTGTATAACTTCTTAATACTTTGCACTTGTTATAGGATATTTCTTGTCACGACCCAAAATCCAACAAGTCATTATGGTACCTAACCCAACCCGCTAGGTAATCCAATTAACAATAATCTAATTTAAAATGAGATTTACTGAGAAATAAATGATGAAATAACTAAACTTTTATACAACAACCTAAGGACTAATAGTACAAATCATTAGCTTATAAGACTTATAGTTTATAAAACTGGTATGAAATAAGTACATCATTTGTTCGAGTTATACATAAACAGATTTATAAATCTAAAGCTACCAAGAACAAGAGGTAATTATAACTGAAATGCGTGTACATCTTCAATGCCCGCTCCCACCATGCACAGTAAAGTCAGCTCCAAAATCTGTACGCAAGGTGCAGAAGTGTAGTATGAGTACAACTGACCCCATGTACTCAATAAGTAACAAATCTAACCTTAGATTGAAAGTAGTGATGAGCTTGAAAAACGGTCAGAGTCCAACACCAATAGCCAAGAATAACTCGTAGCAATATAATAAAAGTAGTACAAGTAATAACTCAAAGATGTTATGCTCAGCTCATTCACAATTACAGAATATAGGTATGCTTTTCAAGTATATAAGTAAAACCCAAATCTTTCGGCGAAATCACCAA